TTCCCGCTTCTCTTCCCTGCTATCTCGTTTTCGTTGCGTATCGTGATCGCTTTTTACATCGTGCAATTTGACGCGCAAAGAATGTAATGACTATAAACGTTAAGTTAACATACCGTACGCGAAATCGACGATGGCAATCTCGGATTACTCGTGAAGAGCGCGATTTATTCGCTGAAAGTTCAGAGGACCTCTCTGTCTGCCTCCATTATTATTTCTACGTCGTTGACAACGATATTTTAGAAGCTATAAAATCTGCGAGCAGGACGAGAGGGAAAAAAAAAATAATTACCTGGACTCGCGACTCTGGCAGGTTGATCTTAAGGGCAACCTCCTCTCGCATAAAGATGTCCGGATATCTCGTTTTCGAGAATAGTCCCTCCAACACATCCAGCTGAGCTCTGGTGAAGGTCGTCCTCTCGCGACGTTGCTTGCGTTGATTCATTCCTGCAACATGAGGGAAGAAAGCGCTCGTTATTAATTATTACGTGTATAAATCTCAGCGAGAAATTTTCTTTTGGCACGTATCTGATCCGCATTACTACGTTACGCTCTCAAAAACTACTCTACGCAGCGTTCAAAAGGAGCAATTAAAAAGTTTAGCCAATTACCGAATCGATTTCAATCTATTAAATCAGAGCTGAGATTAATTGCACATTTCGGATGGATTTCGTTGTCAACGCTTACTGTCTTCCTCTTGCCGCTCGTATCTTAGCAACAAACTGCTGAATGTTTATAAATAAAGCGCGTGACCGGCGTGACGTCCATATGTGTCCAAAATGTAAATCAATTCATTTCTGTGGTTAATTTCAAAGTAAACAACAGCCGCATTAACGTGTATATACGTTTGGTAAATAATAAACTAAATTTGAGTAAAATTTAATATACATTTTCTTGAGTTAAATCGTTTAACTCTATTGTTTTAATGAAATTAACATATTGAATTGGGGCAGTAACGACCCATAGAAATGATTAAAAAGGAAAGAACTCAAATTGGATACAATTTGACATTATGGCTGGGTTCGCTTTGGCGCTCTAGGCGCTTTAAGCGACGTTTCATCCTTGTTGTTTATTAAATATTAAACAAGGACAATTGATGCTCACAAACTCTATAAGCGCCAAAATGAACGCAGCTTGTAAATTTAACAGTGAATTAGACGATAGTATCCTCAGCCACTCCTCAATCACAAGTAGCTCGTTAGAAATTTTCCTTTTCTAATAATTTCAGATTAATAGTTGAAAATGTTTTTGTTATCAACAATATATTAGCGACAAAAAGATTTTCAATTCTTAATCTAAAAGTACTTAAAAAAAAAAAAGTTTCTGACTAGCTATTTAAGACTCAAAATTACAATTCTTACAAACTGAATTGAATTCTATCACATGGGATTTATAAACATTCGGCGGCTCATTGCTAAGATACGAGCAAGAGAAAGTATAGTATCGACAACGGAATCGATTACAAATTAAATCAATCAATGATTTCGTAATGTAAACGGTTTTATGCTTTTTCATAAAAATGTGATAATTGAAAGAGGAAGAAACGGAAGTTGTAACCGTCAGAGAAACTATACCGTTATCGCGAAACAAGATTCGATATTGAGACCTCAATACGTTCGCACGGAACGACCGACGTCGATGTCTTCAAATATGGAACGCTTGTGACATCGATGTCTTGTACGAAGACGGGGGTTGTTGCCGTGCCTGGTCGCCTCGTAGGATGGCAAAGGGGGTTTGACGCGGAGGGGCGTGAGCGTTGCGAGGTCGCGATAGCGTAATTTTGAACAGCTCCCCCCTACGGCCCACCCCACGCTACCTTCCTCGTGCCATCGAGCCTCGCTTGGCTCGTTTCGGGACCCACGTAATCCGCTTATGAGGGGGTCACGGGGATGCCGGTGAGGGGGACAGAGAGAGAGAGAGAGAGAGAGAGAGAGAGAGAGAGAGAGAGAGAGGGAGGGAATACACCCCGGAATACACGAGCATCCAGAGGACCGAAGTCGCGGTTCGTTCCCAGCTGCCGCTGAAAACGACGATGCTGGCCCTCGACAAGCATGTCGGCAAGTATATACAGTTCGTCCTCGTCGCGAGCCAATAAAAAGGAGCGACTGGAAAACTGCGCCTCGCTAGTGTCTCCGGGTTGGAGGCCGGATCGTAAAGTCGCAGGCGGAATGGTGGAATTCGGAGTCCGGAGGATTCGCCGGGCCGCCGACCACGCGAGATATTTTTATGCGCGAATTTTCGTGCTGTTCTGCGCAGAGAACTCGTGACGTTAACAAGAAAAAAATCAAGGAGGCAAAAGGCAGAAGTAGTCGATCAAGATGCGCTCTAATCTGTACGAGTCTCAAACCTGTAAGTTTTTTTTTTTTTTTTTTTTTTTTTCAAAGCAAAAGTTTCATCCAATTTCATAGTAGCGAATGACCGACGGTCATACGAGTGAAATAATTGAGAGAATAGGGTCATTCATGAGAGACTGGTGAAGCCCCGCCTCGTAAAGTAAGTATATGTCTATAATCGTCCTGTTAAGACTTGGGAGACACTCGAGGCAGCTGTTTTCAAGACGATCGATGCTTTCTCTTTCTCCTTTTCCATTCCTCTTGTCCGCCATACTTGAAAGGTCCTCCACTCACCGAATATAATAAAGAAAAAAAGAGTTACACCATCGAGATGCAAAAAAGAGAAAGTTCGTGTTAGCAGGGAAAGATATGATGCAGAACAAAGAGCAGAATAGCGATTTAAAGACACGAAATAGCATACCGAGAAAAAAACAAGCTTCCGAAGGAACCCTTAGAAACTGTATATAAACGTACGTGACAAACACAAAAAATAATCGCTAAGTACAAAGAATAATATTACAACAAAAATAATTCAAGTAAAATCGATTATATGAAAGAAAAAAATGTAATTGAATGGTTATGTAGTAATTAAAGAAAATAAATTAACTTTATAATCTGTACTCCATAGCAAGAAAAGTTTTTTATGTCACATGTTGTAACTGTTGTCTATTTATACGATATAGTGTTAAAAAATATATGTGTACACTGTTAGATATCAAAGAAATAATGTAACCTAATTCCTTGAGTTAAACAGCATTTTGTTATTATTGATGTCCACACTTTATATCAAAATGTAAATCTATCCATCTATGGTTATACTTTCAAAATAAATAACGTTCAAATTAACGCATGCACTTAGTAAATAATCAACTAAATTAAATTTGAGTTCAATTTAATGCATTTTCTTGAATTAAATTGTTTAACAATTAAGCTGAATAAGGCTCCACAGAATAAATCAATTAATATTATAATATGTGCCAATAAAAGCCGACAGGCAGATATCCATGCGTAATCTATTATGAATAATATAACGCAATATAAACCGAAGAGTAAAATAAACGTTTCGATCCTGCTCAGTAAATATGAAGTGGGTAATAAAGAAAAGTCTATATACAGATCTTCAAATTAATTAAACTTATGATACATACATCAGAAGAAGTTATAAAGTTGTATATGTTGTGTAAATGTAGTTATTAAAAAACTTTCTCCTGTTTTATGTAGTCGCAATTCAGTGATTAATCAATGACATCTGAACAATCATCTTACGGATAATACATCTTATGGATAATACTAGAATTATTTTACAATCTATATTAACCGTGGAAGTTACAATTTTAATGATATACTTGATGTGTATCTTGGTGTATCTTGAATGTGACGTTGTCTAGTCGAAGGATCACGATCTTGTGAGAGAAAATTAATGTGATAAGAAATGGAAATATCAGGATTTTACAAATAAATTTAATAAATTCAAGTTTAAAGAGCAACTCCTCCTTTTTTTTAATTTAAACCTTATTTTTGTTTATGTGTATAAATCATTTCAAATATAATCTTTTGTTTAACATTTTTTTTCTTCGTTTAAAATTGTATGTCATCCCAATTAAAATCATGGTACTCATTCCAAAAACTATGCTGTATTTTTGTTAATGTGTAATTGTTTAGTTCTATTGTTTTAGTGAAATTGACGATAGGAACAGTGCCGACCTATAGAAATGATTAGAAATGATTAGAAGTAACACAAATTAAATTTTAATTTAATATCATGAATTTAACAGTGTAATTATTATGTACAAAAAATTATTTTACGAGAAAAATGAATCAATTAACTTCATCAACTATCAAACTAAATATATAATTCAGCTTAAGGTTCGATTGAAAGCGTTTCGACACGAAACTTTACCAATGAGAGCAACGACAAAAGCGAAGTAACTGCAGTCCTAAAGGAAGGAGCGGTCCAGAAGAAGGAAACAAACGTCATATCAATCGCATCTCTCGTGGGTGCTCCTCTCAGATTCGAAGAGAACCCGGGATGAAGAGGATGACGACGAACGACGACGAACGACGACGAACGACGACGACGACGACGACGACGACGACGACGACGGTATCTGCGTGATTGGCTAACGAACTGGACGAGTGGGCTACCAGTATGGCATCAGAATAGATCCACGGAACAGATTGCGTCGAGCTCACAATGTACAAACTCCACGGTGGTCGGTATTACCGCCATCGCTTCGTGTGACGGACGCGACACACCCGCGATTTGATCTATGATCCGTATCTCGGATGCCGCCTCCGGCATGGAACCGCTATTGATTATGGACACATGGAAATTTTAGAATGAAACAATCTCACTGTCGTTCTTGAGATAACATGGATCAAAAAAGTATCTGTACATTTTATTTAGAATATTATCGACATTAAGGTGTCGCTTTACGAGACGTGAAAAGCAGGGTGATCACGTGGTTACAATTTGTATATATGACTCTTTTCAAATATTTTTACTATCTAACATCAATTTTAGTTATAATCTATTTTGATAATGAGCTTTTAACATGGTAATCAAGGCACTGTTAATTCGATTGTTATACAAAAATCGGTAAACAAACTATCATTTATTTTTTATAATTCTGTAATTCAATTATTTACTTATATTTGTCGAATTGTCAAGAGCTTCCTATATCGTAACGGTTTTATACACGCTGAATTATTCGTGGAACAAATCCCATTTGATTGGGAATCTTTTCGTGTCCATAGTCGCTGTATTCCCTGCCTCATGCATTGCGTGGAGAATAGCTCTGAGAGGACACTCTGATTGTCGAGTGGGCGTAGGTGCTACTGTTAACGACGGCCTTTGCCATCGGTCCAGTGAGAGCCAGGCACTTCTACAACCAAGACAATGGCTGTCCGATTATGACTCTCTGCTCGCTTCCTTGACACTCAAGGCGCCGCCGAACAAGTTTTTTAAAGTCTGTATTTTGCGCACTTAATTTGGCGCCTGAATATTTTAAACACGACATTGTAAATCTAAATTGTGATTAAAAAATGAACCTAGGATTTCCAGGAAGAAATGTTTTCTATCACTCGTTATGTTCAAGACGATAATATTGAAAT